GGTCGCTCCGTGCGAGTCACGTCACCGGGGGCGCGGCGACTGGTGGGTGTGGGCGGCCGCCCTCCTCCGACTTTGCCCCCTACTCCTCGCACATCACCTCCTGCCGGAGGCAGGCAGGCGCGGACTGGGCGGCGATGACGACGACTCGCCCTCCTCATCTCCCCGTCTCCCGCCGGCCTCCTCTCCCACTTCTCCCGCCGGTGCGGTCGGCCGGCTCTCCCCCCACTCCCGTGCTGCATCCAAATCGAATTGAGATTTGAGATAGTGGGAGAGCGCCATTTGAGTTGAGATGGATGCCGTCGGCGGCGGGAAGGTGAAGAAGGCGACAGGCGGGAGGAAGGCCGGCGGGCGAGGAAGAAGGCGGTGACGCGCTCCGTCAAGGCCGGGCTCCAATTCCCCGTCGGCCGTATCGGGCGCTACCTCAAGAAAAGCCGGCCGGTCGATCTCCTCTCCGCCGCTCCTTCCCCATCGGCCGCGCCGACCCTCTTCCCCACCGCGTCGGTCACGCCGCCGACCCTCTTTCCCACCGCGTCGGTGACGCCGCCGACCCTCTTTCCCACACACGCACCTCAAGATATTCCTCTCTACCCATCCTCAGCAGACATGGCGAGAAAGGAGGGGGAAGGGCTGGATCTGGTAGCGATGGAAGAAGAGCTGGATCTGTATTCTTGGGAACCCGTGGTGACGCTTGCCATATCTTTGCTGGACAGAGCCATATCCTACTTGGGTGAGGACACTAGCTGGGCGGAGGGGCGGAACAAGAACAGATTTGGTGGTTTCAGCAGTCAAATGTTTTATTATCTCCAACCTGCCAGAGGAAGGTTTCAAGACTTCCGTCTGCGTCTGATTAATTGGCCAAAGTCGTACTGTTGTGGCTATGAGGAAATCTGGAAGTTCAGGATTGCGGTTGAGCTATTGGAGGATTTGATCGAGGAGATCGAACACCGCCGGCTGGAGGAAGATGGTCGCATTCCTGCCTTGTTCATGAATGCTAAGGCAAAGATCGCCTTCAAGTTTGCGACAAATGATTATTTCAGGGAGGAGTGGGACAGGCTGTTCCAGGAGTTCACAACCTTCAGGCTAGAGGACTTGATCACGGATATCGAACACCTTAGACTGGAAGAGAGTGGAAAAAAGATCTCCAACAAGAAGTTTGCGAGATCTCCTGATCAGTATAAACAACAGGCTAGGCTATTTTTCCTGCTAGAGAGAGGTGTATCACGTTTACGCGACCAATTACCAGCGGTGGTCGAACATGTGGTTAGCCAAGATAGGGAGCTGGTTGACCTTGAGAAGGAGGAGTTGCATGCAGAGCTGGTTGGCCGAGATAGGGAGAAGAAGCAGATAGTGCAGTGGTTGGTCGAGCAACCAGCTGAAAACTCTGAGATAATTTTTCCTTTCAAAAAAAAAACTCTGAGATAATCAGCGCAGATCATATCAGGCTCTCTGCAATTCTGGGTGTGGCCGGCATGGGAAAAACTAGGCTTGCCAAGCTAGCTTGCCAAGACCCCGTTGTGTCAACCACTTTCGATTTTGTTGTGCGGGTGCAAGTGCCTTATGATTTCACCCGGGAGCCGCCGTCGCCGGCCGCACCACCCTTTGGCCGCGCGCGCCGCCGCCTGTGCGAGAGCAGAGAGCGAGAGGAAGGAGAGAAATAGAGAAAGAGAGACTGTGATGACGTGGTCTCCATAACATGTGGGGCCCACGTGGGTCCTACGCTGAGTCAGCCGCTACATGGGACAAAACCGGGGTCAAAACCGCCGAGGGGACTATTGTGACCGGTTTTGTAAGTTGGGGGACGCGGATGTCCAGTTTGCGGTTGAGGGAGGATTTTGTATTTGGCTAACAAGTTGAGGGACCTTGTGTGTACTTTTTCCATTTAACTTCGTCCTATGGAAGACCCAGCTTAACCTTCTGTCCACTGACGGCAACCATCAGGGCTGAACAGCCCAAACTCTGTTGATGTAGGCCCAAGTAGGCCTAACCTGGAAACTCTCCTGTAAATGTGTACACAACTACTACCGTATATTCAGATGATCAGATCCTATATTCTCCCTGTTTCTGGCTCAATATAGAGTCGACGATCGTGTCATCAGTTTTAAATAATCGTCAATACCGGTCTAATTTATAAGATAAGCTCAGTTAATGAAGTACTCCAGTTTTTCCATAAGCCATAACCCTAAACATTTCGTTTGGTACTCCCTCCTACCCAGCCCACCTGTCCTCTCTCCTCTGTGAATGTCTCATTGCAGATTTGCAGCCTCATCATCAGCACAGCAGGCGCAGAAATCAAGCGTGTAGCGAGCGCAGGCCACATCCAGGAGTATCTTTCAGTCCGGATCTCGAGGCACTGTCACAATGGTAAAACCGTAAAACACGCAGTGGAAATTTGGGAGTAAACAGACTACTGTAGGAGCACTAAACCTAGGCACATTGCTAATCTGCTGTTTTTGTCAGTGTGCGTCACTGTCTCGACATGGTAACATGGTCTGAAAGGGAAATGCACTGTTTCTGATTGAAGGCTTTGCCTGGAGCCCATGGGGCACACACGATGACACGAAGTCACGAACACGCCGGTGATCGTGGACCCAACAAACGTCGCGTGCCGCCAAGTTTGGTTCGGCCGGCCGGCCGGCCGGCAAGTCTCTCGACCCGGTGGCAATTTCTTTGATGCTAAATCTCCCATTTGGAGCGTAATGAGTTGACAAATGGCGTCATCTCCCGGCAGTTTTGGGTAACCGGAGACTCTCACCGCACATGCCGACGACGTTCGTGAGACCCACTCCCTCCCTGTTCAGTTCAGGGTACATTTCCTACAATGATGGTGCTCGACTGTATCGCTGGAGGGACAGGCCGGGGACCAACGGAAAGTGCGTAAATAATGTGTGGCAAATAGTAGGCAGTGTGCTTCAACAGACACAACCTCCTACATTTTTTCTACTAGTATCCTCGATCAAATTTACATATTCTCTTCGTGTTTTTTGCTGTGTCATGTGCCTTTGGTCCAACCAAGGAGTAGTACTAGAATCCATAGCTGGCTTTATAACGGTGTTACGCCATGCTGATGCCAAGGTACAACTTGTGCTGTTTTATTTGATTCTTGCCCTTTGCGTTGCATGGAGGACCAAAAACGATTCCATGGGAAGGAGAACTGGAGAAGGGGAAGATACAGTAAACAAAAGCAGGTGTCGGCAGACCAGCACACTGCTATATAGTACTCCAGTGCAAATAGTTTTTTTTAAATCCCGTGTTTCATTCTGGATCATGGGGGTGGATCCGGCACCGCGTGACGGCAACTGCCGCAATAGCTGGACAGCCGGCGCAACCGGTGCCTGCGACCGGCACGTCACCGCGCGCACATTGCCCTGTCTCCCCACTTTGACCGCCTACCGACGATTTCGCCGGCGAGAGAGTGATCACGATTTGGCTGCAGGGGCGTCCCCGTCTGCCCCCCTATTCATTTTTCTGATTTCTGTGGTTGCTGCCAATTGAACTCCGGTAGGTTACAAACGAAGCCACCTAACAAAGCGTCATCTTCTAGTAACTGAATTTTTCTGTGACCGAGTCGAAGTCGAAATCGATGTGCAATGATTTAACAGACGAGAGCACACCGGTGCTTAGATTTCCATATTGTTTAGTCAACTAACAGCCGGTAGGATTCGAGTAATTTCAACTAACTGCATGTTTGAGAATTTCCATTAGAGAGTTTTGTTACCATTACATCGAAGTCCTGTTTAGAAAGTAAAATTAATGAACCAGAGATTGTGTTCCAAACAGGTCTCGATGAATTTGGTTACAAAGAATACAGGCTGCAATTTAAGTAGTCTAATTTTAACTCTTAAACTATGCTCGAAGTCTATTTATTATGATGAAAAGTAAAAGATAAACTATTTTTTATATCTTTGGGTTAAACGCATATATGTATTAGGTTTCACCTATTTTACATTCTGCCACTTTTTTTTTGCTAATTGCTATATAATCCCACTAGTTTAGCATGAAGATGATATAATGCCATTCTGTTGTGTTAGATGACACCAACACCATTAATTTATTGTGAATTGACTTTGTTAGGCACTATGAATTATAAACGCACATTGCTACTACCTTCGTCCTAGAATACTTGATTCTTTAGAATTCAAATTTTATCCCAAAATACTTGTCATTATGGAGTACTAGTTGTCCCATTAATCACTTTCTATTCAAAAGTTTTCCCATTTTACCCTCAATAACCATTCCACTTCCTATCATATATTATTTATTAAGGGATATTATATTTTTTTATTAAACCTTAATATATACTAAACAATCTAGAATGACGACTATTGTGGGACGAAGGGAGTAAAAAATATGCTCCTACCTCAGTTTGAGATGAGGGGTATTTATGTCGTAATAGAATGCCACGGAACTTTCAACAATTTTTACTTTTCCTAATTTCAAAATTTAAAGATACATTCTCCAATCCAAGGACACCGTGACAGTTAGCTGGTTTTCGGTGGTAAATTGACAATTACAACATGCCCTAATAGCAAATATACAATTGTTTCTACAATTATTACATATAAAAATGTTGAGTCATATTTTTGTCACGGAACTACTTTTACGTCACATGTCTGATACGTTTTACAAATGTAAAAAAAAAAAACAATGGCCAATGGTTACTACAGAGAACCGAGCTACTAGCAGTTTTTCTCCCGGTGAGACAGGAAGTAAAAGAAAAAAAAAACGACCCACTGCCAAATGGTTGTATCAAAGCATCAACAATTCACCCCCCGCATGTGCTGGTAGTATGACGGCGTATAAAACAGCACATGGAAACAGATGAACCACAATCATATGGTAAAAAACAAAAACGGAAGCTCACCTTCCCACCGCCACGTCCCGGCTCCCCATGCGACCGCGCCTATGGACGGGCGCCCTGCCCACGCCACTGCCCCCACCGTCGCACGACGGCCGCGTCGGTCGCCACGTCTCCATCTCCCTCCACACCACCTGGTTTCCTCTTCAGTTTCCTCCTCATTATTCCTCCTCTTCCCCCCTCGCCGCTTACAACATCCATCCCCAAACCCGCATTCAAAACAAGCAACCCTCCTCCCGAATCGAACAAGGAAACAGATATCGCCTCTAAAACCCCCATCGTCTCGTCTCGTCTCGTTCCCCTCTCCATCTTCCGCGGCTTTCCGCGCGATCCACCGATCCGGTTTCCCCGCGCCGTGCCCGGAGTCGGCGCTCCATTCCCGCGCCGGGTTTTGGGGTGGTGTGTTGATGCGGCGGGATTCGAGCCCTGGCCTGTGAGTTGGGCGTCGGCTCGGCGGCTGCGGGGTCGGCGCGGGCGCGGACGCGGCGGATGTCTGCTATGAGGCGGCGGCCGGTGCTGCCGACTCACCAGGACGACATGGAGAAGGTGGGCGGGAAGCCGCCGCAGTCGCGCCTCTGCTTCCTCGCCACGCTCTGCGCCATGTTCTGGGTCCTCATCTTCTACTTCCACTTCTTCGTCATCGCCAACGAGCCTGGCTCCGCGGGGGCGGACACCGCCGCCGGCGCCGCGGCGAGCATTGCCCGCGCAGAACTTCCGCTCCCCGAACCCGAGCGCGTCTCCGATCCCGCGGTTCCCCTCCCTCCGCCTGCCCTCGTCTCGGAGCCGCCACCTACCACCGCTACTGTCGCCAAAGTGGAAGATGAGGAGAAGCCCACGGCCGTCGCCCACCAGGAGGCGGCGCCCAGGGATTACGCGTTCCAGCGAGCGCTCAAGACCGCGGAGAACAAGAGCGACCCGTGCGGCGGCCGGTACATCTACGTGCACGAGCTGCCGCCGCGGTTCAACGACGACATGCTCCGGGAGTGCGAGAGGCTCAGCCTCTGGACCAATATGTGCAAGTTCATGAGCAACGAAGGGCTTGGTCCGCCGTTGGGCAACGAGGAAGGGGTGTTCTCCAACACCGGCTGGTACGCGACGAACCAGTTTATGGTGGATGTCATCTTCAGGAACCGGATGAAGCAGTACGAGTGCCTGACCAAGGACTCGTCCATCGCTGCCGCGGTGTTTGTGCCGTTCTACGCCGGGTTTGATGTGGCGAGGTATCTTTGGGGGCACAACATTTCGACGAGGGATGCCGCGTCGCTGGATTTGATAGATTGGCTGAGGAAGAGGCCTGAATGGAATGTGATGGGCGGGCGTGACCATTTCTTAGTTGGCGGCAGGATTGCGTGGGATTTCAGGCGCTTGACGGACGAAGAGTCGGATTGGGGCAACAAGCTGCTTTTCATGCCGGCTGCGAAGAATATGTCGATGTTGGTGGTGGAGTCAAGCCCATGGAATGCCAATGATTTTGCGATACCATATCCTACTTACTTCCACCCTGCCAAGGATGCTGATGTTTTGCTTTGGCAGGATAGAATGAGGAGCCTGGAACGACCATGGTTGTTCTCGTTTGCTGGGGCTCCTCGTCCTGATGATCCCAAGTCTATCAGAAGTCAGCTTATTGATCAATGCAGGACATCAAGTGTCTGTAAATTGCTGGAGTGTGATCTTGGGGAGAGCAAGTGCCATTCCCCTAGCGCAATCATGAATATGTTCCAGAACTCTTTGTTCTGCTTGCAGCCCCAAGGTGATTCGTATACGAGAAGATCTGCCTTCGACTCGATGCTGGCTGGTTGCATTCCTGTTTTCTTTCATCCTGGTTCAGCGTATGTCCAATATACGTGGCATCTTCCGAAGAACTATACACGGTACTCTGTCTTCATCCCTGAAGATGGCGTCCGTAAGGGAAATGTCAGCATTGAGGACAGGCTTAAAAGTATCCATCCAGATATGGTCAAGAAGATGAGGGAAGAGGTCATTAGTCTCATCCCAAGGGTGATATATGCTGATCCAAGGTCAAAGCTGGAGACCCTGAAGGATGCATTCGATGTTTCTGTAGAGGCAATAATTAACAAGGTGACACAGTTGAGAAGAGATATCATCGAAGATCATGAAGATAAAGATTTTGTTGAAGAGAATAGCTGGAAGTATGATCTGTTGGAAGAAGGGCAGAGGACAATTGGGCCTCATGAATGGGACCCGTTCTTCTCTAAGCCCAAGGACAAGGGTGGAGATTCTACTAATCCATCTACTAATGCTGCCAAGAACTCCTGGAAAAACGAACAAAGAGGTCAGAACTAAAATACAGGTAGTTAGATATGTGATCGAGGAAAGGAACTAGATATCCTCTCTAGAGAAGCTCCTTGCAAATACCTTGCCCATATGTCAAAGATCCTCCAACGCAGTAGCTCTGATGATCATGTATGTTCTTGATGATCTAGCCCCTACAGGTGTAAGTGGTGGTAGAAAAGATGCTTGGGGAAAAAAATGCACGGCCTTCGAGTTGCCCTTATAAATACCATTTCACACTCTATTTTTGTTTTGCTTTGCTCAATAATCCTTTGTAAGTCCTTACGGGATTTATAGGTATATCAATTTTGCTGTTGTTTCTGTTTTGTTTGCTTTGATCTGTATGTGTATGGTTTAGAATTTGTGTATACTACCTTTTTATACTCACAATTAGTAAGCAATCAAAGAGATTTTTGTAGATATGACTTTTTTCAAGCAAGATATAACTTTTGTGATCGCACATCATGCTTCAGAAGGATGCATCCTTGCAGATTTGAGATAGCTCTACTCTATTGTAACCTAATGGCAACAGGACATTTATTTCTGTTTGTTCAGTTGTGTAGGGCTGGGCCGCTCCAGTTAAATGATTGTGGAAGCCTAAAGTTGTCCTATTCCAATAGCTTTAACAGGCTATATAGTTGACTATACATAAATAACAAACTCCATTGTTAGTTACCTCCAACTGAACTTGCTTGCCAATGATGAGCTAAATAAGGTAGATGCTATTGTCTATCAAACAGTGATAGTTTTTGAATGGTCTTATTATTGATTATTACTACTCCCTCTTTTCCATATTGTAAGGTGTTTTTTAGTTGTTACGGAACAGAGGGAGTAATTGCTTCTAAGCTTTATCTAGCACTGATAAGATCGAGGGTTCTTCCATCATTTGTCAATGACTTCCTCAGTTCCTGTTCATGGCTATGTGCCAATGTATCCTGCCAGATAGATTGTTTGTATCTTGCAAGAAACTCAGATCTGGCCATGTGGGATCAACTTTTGGTCTAATATCTGTTACTTCATATTCAGATTTATCTGGTTGGGAATTTAGAGATTATTGGTGTCATCATGGAAGTGTAGTAGTGAATTGATTTAACAAAAAAAATATTTATTCTGTTAGTCCATTTATGGCAGCGTTGGAATGAGGATGTGCTTACCTCTTCTCTATGCTTGTGGTATAGGTTGATGAACACATCAGGGCTCTCTGAAGAATGAAGTAGAAGAAATTACAGTTCTAATTCAGGTATATTCTCGCAACCCTGCTAGCTTTGAAATGCAATACATATTAGCTATCTATATTAGCAAGGCATGTAGTGGTGCAACTGAAATTTTCTTTTAGGAATTGACTTCTGACAATATATGATTAGCAAACTAATAATTTTATCACTATAGTTGTAGTTTTCTGAAATTTACTCATGATTATATTATAGAATCTGGAGAGTTTGTCTGGTTCTTGATGTGTCGGTCCATCTGACTATTTCTCTCCTTTGTGGTCCTTTCTGATATAAATGAGACTATGGGAACATTATCACGTAGTACCAATTAGTAACTGGTACGGTTCAGAGTGACATTTACTTTTGTTTTCTGCACTATGGCTGTCTTAAGTTGCCCTCTTATTGAAGCTCATGGTATCTATCACAAGAATCTACATTCATAGTACAACCATCCATAATAATTGCTGCAATCTAGTATAGGTATAAAAATCTGGTGTTCATCTCTTTTGAGAAGAAATTAGGATATTATTGTTGACTAACAGCCGGTCATTAGTTCATCAAAGCTCGCAAGTCAGAAAGGCAAGGCCACGTTCATCGCTTGTAAGCCAAAAGCAATCATGTCCTGCACGTTCCCACGTTGCTGATGAACTTGGCATGAAAAAGCACGGCATTGTTCCGACCTTTGGGGCTCGGATTTGGGGCCCTGCAAGTAAGAGATGGTGTTATATCCAAGCATGGGATCCAATCGGTGGTGTTATATCCAAGCGTACAGAGGGTTATTATATTGGACGGCGATGCTTTTTAGTCGAATCTCTTGTTTTAATCATTTGCTTGTTGCTTTCCAAGTTTTGTTCCTACTACGAGTTTATGCTTAAAGCATTCATCCTCAAAAGCTGATCTTCTTGTATGGAGTAGCTGTGTATATAAGCTAATATTAAACTAGACTAACTTTACCATAATTGTCGGGCTAGAGAGTAAATACATGCCTTGCATATGAAAAATAGTCGCAACAACTGTAGTTTGCATCTGTTTAACCTTATTATGCTGTTGTAATCCGTATCTGCACAAATCAACCGTTTTCAGAGCACTTGCTACTATAGTTGCTTCCTGGTTGTCAGATGTCGACTTCGTTTGAAGCCCGTATCGCGCTTACAAGTGGAGAAGGAAACAAGGAGCCCAATTCCCATCGGGGCTCGGGAGCCTTGACCTCGTTTCCGCCTCTCAAAGTTCGGCCTACCAAAGAACTGGATATATCATCTGCCGATTTTTGGCCAATACGAGCCCAATAGGATTGTCTGAGGCCGAGTTTAGTTCCAAATTTTTTCTTCAAACTTCTAATTTTTCCATCACATCAAAACTTTCCTACACACACAAACTTTTAACTTTTCCGTCACATCGTTCTAATTTCAACCAAACCTTCAATTTTGGCATGAACTAAACACACCCTGATTCATGAGCTATTCTTCCTAAGTTCAGTAGAAAATTCCTCGATATATCTTTTGAGTCTAAAATTCGTCCCTAAATCGAAATATCAGGTATAGCACATCCTTTAACTTATGATACCGTGTTAACTTTGGTTTCTCAGTAGTATAGTGGTTGGTTTTGGTTGATGTGGTGAGCGGGACTCACGTTTGCCCCACATGTTAGCTGTCCTCTACCTCTCCCACACGCACCGGGAATGGCATGTCGCCAGCACCGTCGTCAGGACGTGGCCACGGTTGGGTCATTGGAAGTCCACCGCCCAGAAGTTGGCAACGTCGGGGCAACTGCATTGTCTCTCTCTTGCTCGCATCACGCATTCCCTGCTGCGTCCCGTACCCAAGCCAAGCTCCGATCCATCACAATCACCAGCCGCAGCTACAACCACAGTGAAACGCGGATCGAAAGTTGTGACCGAGTAGGGGGCAGGAGGTGTCACTTCATTTGCCTTCCAATTCGGTCGTCCCATGCATCAATTGCCCCCGTGCACGTGCCGCCCCCTTTGTCGTCTCCGCCCCCACAAGCAACCTGTATAGCCACACGCGAAAATTTCCCCCCTCTTGGGTATTGTGGTTGCTATAGTTGTTGCGGTGAGTGGGAGGAGGAATTGGAGGGATCAGGGATGAATATAAAGAATGGCAGGGGTTCGGAGATGAGGGAAGCGATGGCGGGTGCGGGTGCGGGTACGGCGCCGCTGGCAAGGCAGGGGTTGATATAGTCGTTAATGTTCGACAAGTTCTAGAGTACACTGGGAGGGATGGGAGACAGGCTAAGGAAGGATTTTGGGTCCATGAACATGGACGAGCTGCTGTGGAGTATCTGGACGGTGGAGGAGAGCCAAGCAATGGCATCGGTGTTGGGGATGGGGAGAAGGATGGGAGGGCGCGCGACAAGGATGACGAACGGGGCGAGACGGGAAGAAGACGACTCGCTGAGGAAGACAATGCTACTTGCCGTGGAAGTTTGCTCCTCCACGCCGTTGACCGTGCCCTGTGGCCCCTTCCTATCAGTCGGCATGGGTTGGGGGACGGAATGGCTGAGCTAGCTTCTCCCCGCCGTCCACTGTCCTCCTCGCTACATGTCGTCGGCGCTCGTCGTCGATTGTCGTCCTCCTCATTGCTCGCCGCCTGCTGCCCCTCCACACTGTCCGCAGCTAGCCACCACCCTGGTGAGATGGGAACGGAGGGGAGGGAGAGAGATAAAGGTCACTGACATGTGGGGCCACATGTGTTCCACGCTAACTCAGCGTTGTTGACCCTGGTCAACTAGTCACGTCATACAAAACTAGCTGCTATATTGTCCTGAGACCTAGTAATCCAGTTTTGTAAGTTGAGGGGTAAGTTATACCTGGTATTACGGTGCAGGGATGAATATCAAACTCGGTGATAAATTGAGGACCAAAAGTGAACTTATTCCTTCTTCCTCTCCTGGAGAACTAGGCCTCGTTTTGCCCCCCACGCGAGAATCCGGCAGCAATAACAGTACGGCCTGCCCTGTGAGCTCTGCACCTCTCCTGCTGCACCAAAATTGGGCCCTGTTACCCACCGTGATTGTATCGCTATTATATTCAATTTTGCTATATATTTGTCGATAAATTTTCTTCCAAAAATTTAACAGATGTAATTACAGTACAATTTTAGTGTAATTACACTGTAACTTACATGTAACTTGTATGTAATTTTCAAAAATCTCTCCGTAACATGGTATTTCGGTAAAATGAAGGTTGTGGGAACAAATCCTTTCACATAGGTGTGTGCTGTGATTTTTTTCTTCCTCACCAAAACAAATCTTGTAATAGACTAGCAAAAGTGCCCGTGCGTTGCAACGGGAATTGTAAAGACCAAAAAATTGAGGAAAAGTTGAGAAATATTTACATTATGTAATTCATTGAAATACAAATTTCGGTATTTTTTAAGTAGGTAGGTGTATAATTAAATTAGTTTACAAGTAAAGTAAGTGCGAGAAATAAAATGATATGGTTAAAATTAATTTTATTAAATTCTCCATGATTAATTATGCTATTTGGAATTTTATTGGAATTTGCATAGCTTAATTGCTAATTTTCATAATACTAACATCCTTGCAATATTTATTTGAATATAAATCTTCCACTCTCTTGTTGGGCCATTTTCAGCCCATTTTATTATACAGCCCGCAGCCAAGCCGGCCGCTTTCCTCCCTTCTCCTCTCCTCCGACTCAACCGCACACTTGTCTGGCCCAAAAATAAGTCTAATTTACTCCCCCTACTTTATCTCTCACTGTCGCGTGGGCCCTAACCGAAAGTCGAAGTTAAATTTTTTTGTTGGACCGGTCGACCTGCTGCGGCCCATGAAGCGCACGCGGCCCAATAGTGATTCTGCCCGACGCGGGACCGAGCCGTTCGTTTAGATGGACGGCTCAGATCGGCTCCTAATCCATTAAAACCCCGGACCGAACCCTTATCCCTAACCCTACCTTTTTCCCCTTCCTCCTCCCACCGTAGGCCACTCTCTCCCCACCGGCGACTGCGCACCTCCCCCACCTCCGCCATCTTCCCCGCGCCCCTTCCCCACCGCCACCTCGCCGTGCCCCTCCCCCACCGCCACCTCGCCGCGCCCTTCCCCCACCGCCACCTTCCCGCGCCCCTCCTTCACCTCCGCCATCTTCCCGCGCTCCTCCCCCACCACCACCTCTCCACGCCCATCCCTGCCGCCGCCTTCCCGCGCCCGTCCCCCACCGCCGCCGCCTTC